TGAGCGAAGTATCTGGACCGTTGGGCAAACAGGTTTCCAATGAATCAAACGCAGACAGCCTGAATTTATTCATTCTGTCGGGGAGATGAGAAAAAGAGACGCACCGATCTGATTAAGAAACGAAAACTTGATAAACGCCGGCGGTTCGGCCCACAGAGGAAAACGTATACGTCTCTGGTTTTGTTTCCAGAGTTTTGTCTCAAGCGAGGATGGTATTGTGCTGTGAACAGAAGAGATAGAGCTTTGGTTTTGATTGATGTTCCAGAAAATGAAACTTTTGTGTTGAGTATTTCATGGCATGCCTAAATCACACACACTCTTGTTTTACTATACTCCCGAGGACATTGCCTTGTGTTTTCCTTTGTCCCTGTAATAACACTCTCCCATAGACTAAGCACACAAACCTACCACAGAGGACCGTTTTGAACGAAAGACCCAACTCCCGAGGACCGAAAGGATCTGTTGTTCGCCCTTTGTGTGTCTGTCATCGGGGATAATGTAGAACAAGTACACACATGCTCATTGTACGAGATCTGCCATCAATACTTACATTTTCACTGTCTTAATACCTAGGTCTCGCTCTGGTTTCCTGCTTGTTCTAAGAGATATGCCATCAATGCTCACACTTTCCCAGTCTCAATGCCTAGGTCTCCCACTGTACCCACTCATCATCCTTCACTGTCCACACATCCAAATTGTGGAACTCTCTGCCACAATCATGCTTCCCATCATTCTACAACCCACAGTCTTTCAAGAGCTTCATCAACAAGCTCAATCTTATTGTCACTCTCCTAGTCTTATTTCCTGTGTCAAGAGCCCTTTGGACTAAAGGTGCTTCCTGCCTTTTCATGGCATTATCTACTAAAAAAAGTCAGAAAAGGTCTTTATTAAAGTGGTTATTTTCCACACTTTCCGTAACCTTTAACCCCCCAGATCCTTCAAATTTGTAAGATTGAGGAAGGTAGAGTCCAGCCACTACTACTTTACATGTGGGTCGATGTCTATAGCAAGTTTCAAGTTCAGAAAATGTGCAATTGGTTTCCTGCACAGTGGTGGATTTTGGAGGATTTAAAAAGGTCCCAAGAAAAGAAAATGGGAGTTTTTTTTTTAAGCTGAAAGTTGAAAAAACGACATGTATCGCTTACTTCAAATCTAGAACTTTGCTTTATATCTTCGAGCAGAAGTTGAATTAAGTCCACATGGACCTGCTGTTTGTCCATCGACTAACTTGATTATATTTGCTGGGGGTTTACTGGGAATTCACAAGGGACATTTTGTCGGGAAGTGTAGTGTAATTTTATTTGGGCCGATTTACGAATGCTCTCTGGGGTCCTTGGACTTGTAGCAATTTAATTTACTCTTTGTGATTCAATTGACGATGTGTTTGGCCCTTAAATTGAAGCTGGTCAATTGGTCTGGGCTGTCTACACCTGGGACTTAGTGCAAGGATGGAAAGAGAAGGATGCATTGAGGCTTATATTGTAAATGATCCGATGTGCTGGATCACTGGAATTGTGGAAATAATCCTTGTGTATTCGTCTGTCTGCTACTCTGCTCTGCTGTGCCCGACCTAGCCATGTCTTGCCCTTCCCTGCCCTGACCTGCTGTGACATGACCCAACCCAACCCAACCTGACCACCCCATCTTGACCTGATCCGACCTGGCCCATACTGACCCAACCGGACTCAACCAGACCTAATCCAACCTCACCTGACCTGATCTTACCTGGAGCAAGTTCGGGCGAGGACCATTAGTCGACTAGTGGTTGATTTTTGACGTAACTTACGCCTGCGCACTACTAGCAACATGCGAACGTCTCTAGTCAAACAATGGTCAAAACGTCATAATGACACGTCTTGATCCTGGCTCCTTGTGCTTTATAATGCGCGCGGCTGTTGGTAACCAGCGACGGAACCGTGCCCTGTCGTCTGGTTCCAAATAGTCGACTAGCGTAGTCCGAACCATCGTCGACTAGACAGAGTTTGGGCTAACTTAGTCGAACTGTGATTAACAATAGTTCTTGCGCGAACTTGCCCCATGCCTGACCTGACCAGATCTGACCCAACCTCACATGACCCATCCCAAATGACCTGACATGACCTGATTCAAACTGTCATGACCTGACCCAAGCCACACAACCACTTGACCCGACCTGACCCAACTCATCCAACCTGACTTGACCTGACCCAACCTGCTCAGACTAGACCAGACCCAACCTAACCTGACCAGATCTGTACCAACCTGATCCAACCTGACACGACCCAACTTTGCATGACCTGACCCAACCCAACTTGGACCAGACCCCACCCAAACAACTTGGCCCAACGTGCTCTGACCCAACCTAACCCTACCGGACCTGACCTCACCCAATTTAACCCAACCTGACCTGACCTGACTCCATCTAACTCAACCTGACCCACCCTACTTTTCGGACCTCTGTTCTGCTCTATTTTGCTCTGCTTCTCTGCAAGCACTCTGTTTATTTTATTTCTTTCTGGTAATGAAACCAAGGATCCCTCAAAAGTGCCCTAGGCACTGTAGCCGGAAAGCCAGAAGAAACCTGTGGAGAGAAGACAATGAGAAGAAATTACAGTTTTAGAGGTGGGAGGAAAAGCCCAGAGGAATATTCTGAGGTAAACCCACGGAATCAGGTAGGGACTGAAAACCCAATCCACATATTGGCCCGGGCGGGATTCGAACCCGGGTCACAGCGGTGGAAGGCGAAGAAAGTACCGCTACGCCAACATGACTCCCCCGTTGTGCTCTGCTCTAGAATAATGAGTTACCCAATACCTACATGGTACATGATGAAAAACTACATGTATGTACTATACAATGAAAACAACTTTGGTCTTATCCTTCTTGTTAATCTATCAAGACATCCGATTCAAATCCCAGTGTATTCATTTCACATCCTTATGTGAAATGAATACACTTGGAATGAGTTTCCAGTAGACTCTAGTCCTCCATCGTGTCACCCACACGGCCATTAATGTCTCAGGAAGACTGTCCCTAGTTTTCCCACGAGACTCTTCAATGCGCTACGTTTCACATCCCCGTCGTGCACCGCTGACGAGTCGCCCACTGCTGAGGAGTCGCCGGACCCATTATGAGGTCCGGTATTTTATGACCAGAGGGCAGTAGTCAGTGAGGGACGAGAGGTTTGAATTATATGAATAGTTGGAGGGAGGAGGTTGACTAATAAAGGCATTGGCTGTTGTATTGATACCAGTAGCAGTTGGTTTTTGTTGAATCCTGAAGTATGTTTTTGTATAACAAAAACTTTGCTTCTTCTTTTTTTTTTCACTCATGACTATTAACTTTTCAAGTCTAATTCTGTGTGTCTGTTGTTTATAGTTGAAGGCACGTAGGGACATTTTCAACTACCTAGAAATGTACGTACTTAATTAACGAGAAAATCCTCGCTCAAAGTGAAGATAGGACTGGTACCAAATCACCAAATGGTACCATAGTTGAAAGGAGAATACAATCATTGAAGAGGTTTAAAAATGTGCCTGCCAGCACACTTTTTTTTACTTACATTAGCAATGGTATCCAGCTACATGTATGAGACACCAAAGATTGTTTATACAGTGTCTTTGTTTTTTTCAAAATGTATAGTATCAACTGAGCTGAAACTTCAACAAGTTAGTTGTAATGCACTCTTCTTAAGATTTTGAGCAATTTTGTTGCTTAAAAATGAATTACAAGTTTGCTTCTACATGTATGCACCTTCAAGATTTATTGGTCATTTTTATTGCAACATCCTAGAAGAAGTTGCTCATGAATTCAACATGAAGGAGAGACTGTAATGGGCTATCGTTTGTTGCAAAGTGGTTGTGTTGAAGAGGAGAGGAAAGCAACCTCTAGTGCCTCTTAAATAGAAGCGGGGGGGGGGGGGATCTCAGATTCAAAACTATCGTCATCAAGTTCTTTCGGTTTCACGAATGAGGAAGAATAGAAGAGCTCACAGCTTGTGTCGGTTGAAAGATGATGTGTGTTGGCACCAGGATAATGATTCCAAGATTTTCTTTCGCTTTTTTTTTTGTTTTTTTGGAGAGGACTTTTTTAAGTACTGGAGAAAGTGCCATTTTTGCCCTGGCTGTAAACTGCGTCTCAAAGACGCATTTCTTCAAATGGTCACGCTTTGAAACGTGACATTTCTGGTTTGCAGACAAAAGCCTTGGAAATGTTGCTTACGAGAAAAGTGTTCACATTTGCAGTGAATATTTTTTCCTCTTTAAAGCTGTGATAGTTCGCTTCATAAATATTCTAGTGTATGGTATTTACTGGAAAGCGGTTGTAGAAATTCCCAATGGTATCCGTATATATTTCTCACTGAAGACGGTAAAAAAGTCAAGGGTTTGTGGTTACCTTACACTACTGTCACTACACAGAATAAGTTTTTCAGTTAATTGAAACATGGTTTTTGCTGATATGTAAAAGAGGACATTTTTGGAAACAGTAACCCTAACTCCCTACTTACAAAGTAGAGAACCATGTCTGTCAAAATCCATCACTTACTCTGCTTCACATACTGACTGACATAATGAAAACCATTGAAGTGCTGGTGGATTTTGGCGGACATAGCTTACGTGACAACAGCAGTACTCCATGATGGATAAAATCGATCGGATACCCCTAGCACTGCTTCAGGCCTCCAGGCCTAAGTCCATCATACTCCATCAAAATTAAGTCAAACCAGACCAGCAGGACAATGTCCCCCAAAATCCACCAAACTGGGGAGATGGATATTGATGGAGTTCATAAGGTTAGGGTTAAGAAAACCAGGGGAAAAAAAACAGTTTTCACAAAACATTCCGAGCCTTTGTCCTGCAGATAGTCGCATATTGCAGATAGTCGCATATTCTATGATCAATCGAACTTTCAGTATAATGTGATTACAAACAAAAGCCATGATACTGTGTCTGTAAGTTTCATAGCATAGGATTTAATAAAATGTAATTTTGTGTTCCTTTTTTTCTTTTTCTCCGTTTTAGGAGGAAACAGTCGATTCTCTTGAAGAGAGCAACGAAAAACTGCAGTCGGATCTCAAGCTAGCTTTTAAGAGAATAGCGGACCTACAGCACGCATTGCAGGATAATGACGACAGTGGCAGCGACTTAGGAAGGTAAGGACTCAAAATGTCTTGACTTGCTTCGGAATTCTTCCAGAAATCCAACTTTCTGTGAGGTGGGACTTTGTTCAGAGCACAGTATCATGTTGCTTATAATAAGGAATTTGTTTTAAAACAAACTGCTAAGCCTGCCTCCAAATTTGCCCCATGTCACTAAAGGCTAATAACAGTTCTATAGGGATATTTCCTGTATTTGGAAAAAAACTGAACGCACAGCTGTGCTTTAAAAACTTCATTACCCTCACTGTGTTGGTCCTGATACATGGAAGGATCTAGCCAATCCTGGTGACTTTATTGGGCTTACCGATGTGAAATGAACCCAAGTCAATCACAACTTGAAATACAGAGGGACAACCCCTCGGGATTTTAGGCAATGCCTCGGGCGATCAAAAATATGATGAGGTGGCTTGGGGCAGACGCTAACGTTCACCCCTCAAAAGTCTCCCTTCTAGTCAGTTCCTGACAGCAACGCGATAAACTCAGTCATCATTTCTTCCCCTCCAGGATTTGTCTCTTCCTGACGAGAAAGATGAATATTTTTACTGTGCTGCAAAGAGTCGTAGACATTGTGCCAACACAACTTACAATTACTCTACTCTCCGCCTGTCCTCTATGTATTGTTATTCTTGCTGATTGCTTGGGAATTTGATAGTCGCTGACTTTGCTCAAAAAGAGGTCGTAAAGCCAGACAAAAAAAAAAAAAAAAAAAAAAAAAAAGAACTTGTTTTTTCCTGTTTCCAGTATTCCACGCCTCTACTGTCATGCCTGATAAACATGAATTCAAGGGAAAAAAAATCAAAGTTTGTTTTAATAGTACTGCTAAAAAAATGTCAGTACTTGCATGTTCCTGGCGGAGACGCGAAAAAAAAATTTGCAGTTAACTCTCGGTTTAAATTGCCGAGTCTTCACATCCAAAATGCAAAATTGTTTACTTGAGATGTCAACGAATGATTTGTGGTTCACATTTTCCTTTAAAAAAACCTTCCAAGCCATTTAAAAATGTATACATGTAGACCTGTTAGTTACGGGTACATGAGAAGCGTTTTACATAAATTTACGATTCATTTCAGTGAAGCGCGAAACAAGCCCTAATTTACGAACACATCTACACGTAATTACCTGTACACCGCGCCGCGCGCTTTATTCACATTCTGTGTGGCTTGGAATATCATCCCATGCTTGCAAACATGAATTCAGATGAGAATTTATTGGCCTAAATCGCCACTGTCCAAACAGCCTTTAGGAAAATAAACAACATGTAAATTTATACTCCTTGACAGGCAAGAAACGTTCCTTCATACATTTTTGAAACAAAGTGGCAAGTACGAGTATCATAGTTTGTGATAAAGTAAGTGATTCTTTCAAACATGGCTAGTGTGTTTCCTAAGTACAAAGTTACATAGACAATTGAGGATTCACAGTACCATTGGTGTTTTGAAACTTGGTATTTGTTTGTAGCTTCGGCTCCTGAGTCATTTCATGCCCCTGGCTAATAGAGGACTTCAGCTCAGTGTGGGTCCTTGTTTCAGAAACACGAAATCAACAATATGACAGTAAAGTTAAGACTACATTATATTTCCATTTGCTTAGGAAATTCAAAGCATATGATGACAGCAATGAACCCACAGCTGGAGGCAAAACCAAAGTTTCGATAAAGCCCTTTGTCAAAAGTTCAGGAATATAAAGATAAAGAAAGAAATTGACTTGAGCGGGGTTTGAACCTGCGACCTCAAGATTACCGTTCCGGTGCTCTACCAACTGAGCTATCCAGCCTTATGTTGGTGGTTCACCATTTTGTCAGTATCTGTTGGTCATGTCAGAAACCATAAAAATATGAGATGGGGGAATTGCCAATGAACATATTTTCAAATTAAAATTAAATATCTTTGATCTCTTTTAAAGCAGTGATTCAGACAGTGATGACGAACCCGAGTACAGCCGCCGCTACAGCCGGTACTCATCGCGCAGTTACCGTGACAGCACAAGCAGTTTGGAGTCCACGCCGCGCTTGGCGCGACGACGCGTGCTGTCGTCAGCATCTGAAGATGCCACAACAAGGTAAATTTTTTTCTTTGTCATTACGGTAATTAATACCATTTTTTTTTTAAATTGGCTTTTGCCTATTCATTGAGGCAAGCTCGTTCATTTAGAAATTTGCAGAGAAGTTATATGGTGTAAACAAAGGCTAATTAAACAATTATACCAAAAACAAAATTTGAAAATCACCATCCAGTTTTAGAAAACTTCCTTAATAGAAATGGTCCTTTCTGTACTATGTTGCCATGGCAACTAATACAGAAGAGAAGGTAAAATATTGGTGTAATCTTTGAATTTTTTTGTTTTGTATTTCAAAATTACTTTCTTGGGGGGAAAATGAATAATTGAAATATTAATTTAACATTTAGTCAATGAATAGGTGGCTGTTAGAGGACTGCATGAATTCATCCAAAACACATTGCAAGCGTGATACATGTATGTCCATTATCATTCCCCTTAGAGCCGCTGCTATACATTTAGTGTACAAATTAATATTGACAATGTTTTCTAAATATGTGACTCGGAAAATGAATGCTTTACACATGTAGATGATGTAAATCTGCACTCATGTACCTTAGGTACATGTAGGTTGCATGGAGAAATTTACCAAAATGCAACATGTAGATGCATTAAATATCAGTGCATCAAATGCGTGAACAAATTCTTTTTCAGGCCATTAAAATTAACCATTAAAAAACATGTACTCATGGCTTTTGGAACGCTGCTATTCCTCATGCACTCAGCAATTCTCGATGTTTGAAAAGGCAATAATAGTCACAAATTAGCCAAAGATTTAAATGGAGCCAATTTTATAGATACTTTGACCATTCATACAGCAGTCATGAAAATGTTCATTCAGTAAGCATTTACGCAGTCATCTTGTGTGAAAAAATTTCAACCAGTTTTCCACTCTGAAAATGTTATGCTAACACGGGAAAAAAGTCCCTCGTTTGCAAACAGAAGTGCACATAACATTGACCGTCCGGTACGCACTTCTCTGACACAAAGAGGCTGCTTTTGGTATAAAAATAGCCCACTTCGCTTCCGAGTAGGTGACAGGGAACGAAAACCGTCGAGTGAGCCCCCCCCTGAGAGTTGCTGCCAGGTCGTGAGCAGGATGCGTGACACCCTTGCATCAAATCATTGCGTAGAATTCTGAAGAAAAAAACGCTTTGCGTGCCCTTTTCCCCCCAGTGTTTCAGTAATTGTTTCATCTGTTTATAAACAACAAAAGGCTTCAGTTTTGTTTATTTTCCAGTGACACTAACCAACCTGAAGAAATTGTAAAAAAAAAAAAAATTTAAAAATTAAAACTGGACAGTTTTTCTTTCCATTTTGCCCTTTTTTGTGTCCAAGAGAATTTGAAACCAGTAACATACTGCTTCATTGCAATTCTCACTGTCGCCCAAAACTGTGGTTACTTACCAGGAAAACTTTTCCCTGAGTTTTTCCAGCAACTTGTCTTATATTTGTCAACTTGATCAAGAAATGTGTTAAACAAAAGGTGTTTTTTAAAACTTGTGTCAATGGCATATTTTACAAAATTTAATTTCAGATATTTTATTTGACGTGCCACACTCCATCAGAACTTACCCGTTCTCTGATAAAAGCTTTCGTTATTTTCTCGTCGACGGAGACAAATGGCAGGAAAGTGTTTAAAAATTGGACACTCAATCATTTTTTACAAAGTAGTATTGAGAAACGTTTGCACTTTATATCGTTTCCGTGTCAAAGGGGGAAGTAGCCACAGCAACTGTCACAAAAACGGTGAGTTATTTTGCGCATCATGAAACCTGGATTGTGAGAGAAATTTGTTTAAATTGGCTGTCGTGTGTAGCTCTCCTGTGGATTTATCTCTTCCCATCATGCATTGCCTGCCTTCCCATGATCCTCTTCACCTAGTCTCAGCAATAGTGTAGTCCCATGTACATTATTCCGTGTAGTGCTGGACTTATATGTACTTAAACTTTTGTTTTGATAAATGAAACCTGCATGAATATGTCAAAGTCAAAAACTTGAATCCTAATTGTAATGCTTGCCTGGAGTTGCCATTATTTTTGTTAAAACCTTTTAATCCTCTAAAGTGTCGAAGTGATCTTTTGTGCTGTAAATGTTGTGAACGATTAACTTCTATTCTGCAATCGTTTTTTGTTTTAATTCCAACAAAATTGTCAAAGGCTGAAGTTAAAATAATATCTACATGTAGTTTGTTTGTCCATCAAATAGCATCGATTTCATATCTGTCTACTTTTTTCTTAATGTATAGTAAATAATTGGATTTTTATTCAATATTGTTCATCGGGAATTAGAATCTACAGTTGGTTTGCATGTAGGTTGTGTTTATCCCAAATTAATGTGTGTTTGATATTTCAAGACAAGCCAATGATATGGGTCACGGCATGCTGGATAATCAACTGCTCATCGAAGGCACATGAACGTGCAGGTAGACGGGCCACGACACTTGCGTGATAATTACGACCTGAACGGGCATTCGCCTAACATCGCCTAACATCACGTCATCGTTTTTACATGTTTTATTCCCAACGACCTTTGCCCTGGACTACTTCACCGAGATACCAAACTTGCTTATCGATACGGAATGGCTAAACAATTCGCAGAGTAAGCTGAAGTGTTAATGTGATGTACCGTTGGCACGGAGACTTGACTTTATTGCCTTACCCATGTATCATGTTAGTACACAAGGAAAGATGCGTAAAGCTGCTCCCAGACCACGTAAGTCAAAAATGACAGGTAGTCACTTGGACTGGTAACAAGTCTAATTCACAACAGTCGGTGAGTCAGTCAATGAGTCAGTGAGTTATTAAGTGAGGTGCAATGGGGGCCGCCCTCTGGGACCAGCACGAATGTCAAACAGTGTTGATATTAAAGGATACATGAGCGCCTACCCAAGGCACTGTGGGTTTGTCTACATCACGGTTGAAAATTTGTGCACGTAGGTCACACTCTTCACACGCGAACCAGTACTTACTCACGGCGCGTCCTTCATTTGCTATCCTGGGTAGGCTCGACAGCACTATTTACAGTTCCCGCATGGAATTCGTAACGTCCATACTTGAATTCTTGTTCAATGTATGTGAACATAAACTGCTGTTGTACATGTACAGTATGTAAGTTCCCAAGTACCTGAAGACCAGGTCAAGAGGTGCTTGATGACACCAAAGGAGACATTTCAAGTCCTAGCTTGTTCCCTTTTGGGGGGAGGGGTTGTGGTTAGAGAAGCAAACGTAGGCTTAGCATTCTCGGAAGGAATAACCCGTTACTTCTCGTGGGAATTGCTCAAGACGTTTGGAGCATCTTTTTCACCCCCTGACCGATGCCTCTAGACTTTTTTGTATTGGAGAGTTAGTCTAGTATGTGTCCCAGCCGATTTCAAATGAGAAATTGAAGGGTTTTAAACTGTTTGCTTTCATGATTCATTTTGCCTACTGGGTCCTTGAGTGCTTGTAGACCCATGACCTTTTATCAGATACTTGGAATAGAAATAGCAAGGTTTGAACAATGTACATTTCAACAATTTGGTAAGCAGAGATCCCTGAGGTGTCGCATTGTAGCTGAACCCTAACTCCTTAGACCAGTGGCATATTGAGAGGCAGAACACTGCCACCCCCCCCCCCTCCCCAGCCACATAGTAGCTGGGCTCTACCTTCCTCAATCCTACAAAATCCTCCACTATGTAGGAGCCCAATGGCACACCCTTTGTACCTACATGTATCAAGTTTCAAGGGGCATCAAGCCCCATGTAAAGTAATAGTAGCCTGGCTCTACCTTCCTCAATCCTACAAAATCCTAAGAGTCCAATGGCACACTCTTTGTACCTAACAAGTTTCAAGGGGCATCAAGTTCCTTGTAAAGTAATAGTAGCCTGGCTCTACCTTCCTCTATCCTACAAAATCCTAAGAGCTCAATGGCACACTCTTTGTACCTACCAAGTTTCAAGGGGAATCAAGCCCTATGTAAAGTAATAGTGGCTGGGTACTACCTTCCTAAATCCTACAAACACATCCAAAACCTCCTGGTGGATTTTGAAGGATCAGGGCAGGTAAGGGTTATTAGTTTATAGGATTGTTTTGCATCCACATTGAAACTGGTCAATATGAATTTTGTACTCAATAATGAACTGGAGAATTCCTGTGAATGTGTGTACATTTTCCATTTGGTCTCAGTTTCTTTCACTTTCTCATCAAACTTGTCCCCGTTGCTGTGTTCATTGGTGTAGTCAGTTTGGGTTTTTCCTTCCCAACAACAACCATCCATTGAAATCCCTCTCTTCGTAAATTCAGTACAGTGACAAACTGGTGAATTTCTGTAGTTTCATTTACAGTAGTCATTTTGTGCTGTGTTCATTTTTGTAGCCAATAGCCTAAAATTCCACCACGATTTCAGAAATTTCAGCCATGTGTCAGTCCTAGAGTAAAATATATTCAGTTTTTCCCCTAGTTTCACACATTTAGTTGCAGTTGAGAAGAATATGGATTTTGCCAAGAAACGGTATTTTTTACGAAGTTGTTTGGCTAAAATAACACAAAGTTGTCAATAACAATTCTAGAAAATTCAATTAATCCACTTCAAGTAAACCCCGAGGAATCTGGAAAGACTCTTGTCAAAGACAAAACGGAAAGTGTTTTTAAAGACACCTAATCTTCAGAGAAGGGTTTATGCCCAAAGCATCGTTTTCTGAATTTGTACCCCCCGGCTGTCATTGGTGTTTCATCTTTTTTTTAATGAAAATATAATCAGGTGATGTTCTCGGAATTCTTGTTTGTGAATCTTGTGTCCCTTCTCGCTGGCGCTAGCTCTCTTTTGATCTTTGTCAAGACTTTGAGAGGATTTCCCAAATCTCATTTCTGAAATGTCCCCCTGCTGCACGCTGCCAGAAGTTGCCTTGGAGACATTCTACTATCATCTTTAAACCTTGGGGGAGTCCTTTTTTTCTTCCTCAAGATTTTACAATAGCCAAAGATCAGTTTCAATTTCATCAGCAAATGCCGATCTCCATCATT